ATAATGAGTTACAGTATATGGATTTTAGAAAGGTTAAAGTAAAATGCATTGGAGATGTGTAGACAATATCTTATCTCCTGGTGCAATGAAAATTCGAGGACGAATTTTCTTAAGGGGGGGAGATTTGTAACATCCCAAAATACGGGTTAGTGACCAAAATTGTAAAATTTCAGAATATGGTGATTAAAGTGTAATAGTTTAATAGTTTAATGATTTGTTCATAAATATTTCCTAAAAGTTTATAGTAATTATCCAAAGAATTAAAGGGCAAAATGGTCATTAGACTTGAAAATTATAATTAAATGATATATATATATGGATAAGGATGGGAGATTTCCAGAAAAATCTCTTCTCTCTTTTCTTCTTCATTTTCTCTTCTCCACGTGTGAAGCCAAGCAAAGGTGAGTTTCTCTTGAGCTGATTATGTGCTGAAATTTAAGTTTAGTTTTGATTATTAGATGCTAAGTAAGATTAAGGAAGGATTAATTTGCTTTAAAACAACAAAATGAAGAGTTTATGAGGATTTAATGATTTGGAGTTTTTGAATGAAATATCGAAATAAAGTTTATATTGAGAATTGAAAGTTGAATTTGACTTGTCATCAAGTTAATTAAGGGATAGGAAGTGTTAGAATAGGAATTTGAACATGTTGCAAAACTAGTATAATTTTTGCAATTACATAGGAGTGACTAGATTGGAAGTTAAAGAAGTGATTATGGAATAGAAATAAGTTTAAGTATGTGTATTAAAGTTAGGAGTATTAAAGGAAGTGAAATAGGAAGGTTTGAGTTGAAAATTGATGATTTTCGAGCTTAGAATATAATTTCTGGGTAGAGGGAATCGATACCCTATGAATGGGAATTGATTCCCCCTCTTGAACGAAAAATTCCAGTATGTTCAGGGGGTATCGATTCCCCTGGGGGGGTATCGATTCCCCCTAAATGAAAATATAGAATTCGATTCATTAAACCGATTTAAGTTATTAACATCAAGTTTAAAGTTTAGGCTTCTGATAGTTGTTTTGAAATGATATATTTATGTAGATATTGAGCCTAAACAAGTTCCGGAATAATCGAATCAAAGCAAGGCTAAGGTGAGTGCAATTTAAATTGTATTTGTGTGATTGATCAAACATTGGCTTGCGATGAGTCAATGATAGAGTTACTATGGTAAGAAGTAACTTATATAATGTTATGTGATTACTCTGTATGCATTAGTACATAGAAATGGATGTATGTTTATATGTTACATGATTTACATGCTTACATGAAAATGCAACATATGATATTAGATATGTGCTTACACATACATTTGGTATGTGATAGAAAAGAATGAACATGTGATTATGAGATCAAGGATTACACGTACATGTGATACGTGACTGAAATGAAAAGATATGTGTTTATAAGAGTAAGAATATGAATAAGTAATGTGAACGGTCATAAATGATAATGCCCATGTTATGTGATATGAGAGCTAGGGGTATAGTTGGCATGCCAAGGGTCGAGGGTTACCTATGTTCTTCGGGACATATGGACTGTTTACCTATGTTCTTCGGGACATATGGACTGTTTACCTATGTTCTTCGGGACATATGGACTGTTTACCTATGTTCTTCGGGACATATGGACTGTTTACCTATGTTCTTCGGGACATATGGACTGATTACCTAGGTTCTTCGGAATCTATGGACTGGTCCTTCGGGACATTGATCGAGCTGTTGTGACAGCATAGTGGTGCACAACCTCAATGTACTCACATACCTTAAGTTCTCAAAAGTATACATGGGCTAATACATGGTCTTTACAGAGAGTAAATAAATAAATTGATTTGCTACTATGTATGTTTTGTTGTGAAGTAGTATATGTGTTCTATGGTATGTAGAGAAATGTTCGATATATGTATTTATACGATAAAAAGGTATTAAAAGTACTTGTATTATCTCAGGTTATCATGTATACTGAATTATATGCGATTCGATTGAATTCATAGATTGAATGTTTATATTTATGAGAAATGCATTATTATTATTATGTTTTGCTTCACTAAGTCTATGACTTAGCGTGTAAGTGATTTACACGTAGGTACTGAGAAGCAGAAGGATCAAAGCTAAGTTCAAAGTAACAACATATCTCTGCTCAAAGACCAGATCAGAAGTAAATTACACAGTATGTATTATTATGTGATAAATAGGTTGGCATGTAAATAAAGTAGGTAAATTAGGTATTTATGCTCTGATCGAGTTTTGTAATATTTTAAGCATATTTATATAAGTACAAATGCAAAGAAATGAACTGTTAAATTTTTCACGAGTGTTATGTACAATTTACGAAAATCACTGTAGTAGGTTACTGTATTACTGTTCATATCGTATTTCACAGTTCATAAACACGTTTTTATCATCAGAATTTTATACCAAACACAATTGAATAATATTTGATTGTATTTTCTTAATATAAATTCAAATGCTCAGTACTTTTACAAGAGTAAAGGTTTTGAAAATATCAATGTGACATCTCGGACTCGTATTCAAGTCGGGTACGGGTTGGGGTGTTACATTACATATCCCTAAACATAGTGTGATTGCATGGATGGCTCTATTGGATAGACTCCCTACTCGATTTCGATTGCATAAAATGGGAATAGTCAATGATGTTAATTGCCTTATATGTAATGAAGCTCATGAAACTAGAGAACATTTATTTTTTGACTACTCTTTAGCTTCTTGTGTTTGGAATCATATTCTACTTATTACTGGACTGATTAAGTCCTCTTTGTCTTGGGACGATATGATTACTCAAGCTAGCCATTCATGGAGAGGTAAATCCCTTCTCACCACCATTTTAAAGCTCTCGTGGTGTGCTTTTATCTATACCTTGTGGGAGGAACGTAACAAGAGAATTTTATAAGGATGCTCAAGATCTCCCGAAGAAATCCTCAAAGCTATCAAGGAGATAATAGGGATTCAACTTAGAGGTAGAAATGTTAACCGATTAGAGAATGTAAATATTAATCTTTGTAATGCTTGGGGTATAGATTAACTGATCATTCTTTTGTTTTGTTTGTTGTTCATATGTTGTGTTGAAATCGGTTGATTGGTTTTTGAGTCTGTAATTGACTATGATTCCTTGGATAATAAAAGCAATTTATAAAAAAAAACTTAAATTATGATTAATTAAAGTACATAATTGAGGTTTAGGTGGAGGGGTCGTTTAAAGTTACAGATAATCATTATAATTAGGTGTCACTAAACACAACTTGCCATTGGTTAATGGCCATGTGAATGGGATTTACCTGACCAATAAGATTCCACAAACCTTTGCCAGAGAAGCAAAGCCCTCAAACTAGAAAACTAGGGCTAGGGTTCATAGGTCAAGAAGATCACAAAATACAAGGAAATAGATAAACGAGCTTAGCCAGGTGTCAATGATCAACAAATGATAGATGAACATAAACCAAGGGGGGGGGGGAAGGAGTGTCTGTGAAGATGAACAAGTTCCCATTAATTTATCATCCCAACAATCACTTTTCTGACTAATTCCACCATTGCAGACATTAACACTTTGAGATTTTTGAAGTTGGGAAGAGAGAGGGATAAATGAATAAAATAAACGAAGAGGCTATGTCACATGAACTTTATCATAACTCTCAAATCTTTTCTCCACCCATGAAAAAAGGATGATTTTGCCCTACTTTTTCTTCTCTTTCAAAGGAATAGAGAGATCTGTTGCCTTTTTTTATGCTTTCATCATCCATGCATCAAGTATGACATTTATGTATTTTTTTATCATGTAACATTTTTGTATATTAAATTTAATACATTAACAAATTATGTAATCATCAGTGACATATTAAAAGTAAATCTTTCTTATTATAAAAAAATAAAAATAAAATCCGAAGTTTATATCAACCAAAGTCGTCGTTGTTGACATTAGTACCTGCCATCAATCCCCTTCTTAAGTCTCTTTATCTAACTTTTTATTTTCTCCCTTTGTCATTTCTTAAAGCATTTTCTCCTTCATCTATATCTTTTTTCTTTCTTTTTTATGCCATGTCATTAGATTTGGTGGCTCCCTATCAGTCTCGATTTGAACTTTCAAATATTATAATGGCGTTTCTTGTAACGTTTTTCGTATCGTCGCAAATATTTTTAACAGCGCTTAAAAATACCGTTATAGGTATTAAAAAAAATACCGTTAAACCTTTGTTTTGTTGTGACAGAACACACTTATAATAATATTCTTCAAGTAAATTAGTTTATGCAAAACAATAAATATATATTTTCTTAACAAACTAGTTGATAATTACAGAGAACTTATAAGACAACATGTGTGATTGTTATTGAATAGTCCTGGAAGGATATGAAATTTTACTGATTAAATCTAGAATTATTTGAGAAATAGACTTCAAGTTGTACTGAAGACCTTATCCCGAATAAATCTCCTAGTTGGGGTAAGAAGATTTTCATGATGCAACCTACGAGCTTCAAGTCTTTGCAACAGTGTTTTTTATCTTCAGGAATGTAGTTCAATCAAAAGTGAACCTTTTGAAAATTAGTACACAACCTTAAACAAAATATGCCAATTTATTCTCCTAAAAAATGGATCAAATCTACTCAGACCTACTGAGCATTGACTCAACCATTGGTGAAGAAAATAAATATGGTATTTTTTGCACCATCAGTTAACCTTTTCTAGGTATTTTGTTGAATTTTTATTGGTCGGACTTGGGTTTCTATCCAAGTTCGGTCGGGTCGGGTATTGTTGCAACCTCTGTTGGTGATATAATATTAGGCTGCCAACTGTCATGGGCGCAAAAACCGCGCCAGGTAGGGGTCGAACCTACGACCTTCTGCTTAGGAAACAGACGCTCTATCCACTGAGCTACAAGCGCTTTGATTGCTAATAAAATTATTATTTGTTATTTGTAAATTCTTGTATAGATATACTCGGCCAAATGTCATTAGACCTCTAAAAAATCTACATCTGGTTCAGAATCGATAAACCGTAGAAAAAGAACCCCAATCCTTTGCAAAAGCTCGAGAAGTGGAAATGGCGACGGACGTTATTATACATGCGGCAATTTTGTTACTAACACTGGCTATTGTCTTCGCGATTCGATACGTTCCCAAACAAACCGTAACCAAGCACCGAACCGATCATCGAGCCACGACCCAAACCCAACGCCATCTCATCCGAGCTACCCAGCTTCTTTCTCGAGCCAAATCCAATCCCCAGAGAGACCAAACTCAAACCCTAGCTAAAACCGCCATAGCCGAAATCGAAAAAGCCCACTCTCTTTCGCCGAAGGACCCAAATCCTTACATTCTCAAATCCCTAGCTCTCGACTTATTGGGACACAAGGGACCCGCTCTCAGATCGCTGGATTTGGCGTTGGCTTCGCACCGCGTGAAGTCACTCTCGGAGAAGGAACGCGTGGAGGCGCTGGTGAGGAGGGCTGAGTTGAAGTTGGCTGTTAATAAGAAAAGGCGAGTTGACTCGGCCGTCACGGATTTGGAGGAGGCTGTTAAGGTGAGTGAGAGTGAGTTGAAAACAAAGGCGTTTTGTTTTCTGGGTGTTTGTTACGAATTAAAAGGGATGAAGGAAGAATCTAGGAAGGCATTCGAAGAGGCGATTAAGGTGGAGCCTGACTCAACCGTTGCTCGTCAGGGTTTGGAACGGGTGAGTGTTTCATGACTCACAATGAGAACCAGGTTGCATATAATGAAATGTCGGTGTAGTTCATCAATTCTCAAAAGGATTTCCCTTCTGTCATCGACTTGTGCTGCAGTTTCAAGTGCCCCATAGTTGCCGGTAAATGGAAGTCTTGTCTTCGAACATCCCTAGAGTTGGAGCTTTCACTACCCAAGATGTACACATTACACCATTTCCAAAGTTAATTTTACGCTTTCGTATCTATTTGAGAATTTCACAAGGTATTGTTGGGGATCAGCATGTTGCTCAATCGGATTTGATATTTATTGTTTGTATGTATGTTCGGTCAGTTTTTTTTAGTTGTTTAATTTACAACTTGAAAACAAGTTCGAATAAAATTAATTGAGTCTAAAGTCAAGTATGATAATTAAGCTCAATGATTAAATGAGTTCAATTGTTTCCATCTTCATTTCAAATTGACTTTAAACTTTCAACTTTAAAAATAGAAAATCGAATTTAATCTCGACTAAAATTTGAGTATAGAGTAGTTGTATCTCTATTGTAATAGAGCTCAAGTTTTTTATAATCTGAGGTTTAGACGTAACTCCACTATACGATGTTACAAGAATCAAATTATTTTAGTGTTCAAAAGAATAATTGTTCTTTTTAGATGTTTTAGGTTCGAATACTAAAGATTACATACACATGGTATTTGAGCGTTCATTGTGAAATGATTTAGAGTTTTTAGAACATGCAAGACCTTAGATTATTAAAAAAAATACCATTCAGCTCTAAAGAATAATAATATAAAAAAGAAATGGGAGGAAAATTTGGATTTTAGAAAAAAATGTTGGGCCAAGCCCTTTTTTTAGAGCACCTAACGGTTGAAATCAACCTATAAAAAATAATTAATAGACGGAAGTTACACCATGATCACTGTGAAATTCAAGTTCTGATTTCGAATAGTTTATGGTCAGTGAAGTCACCACGTCCAATGTCCGTAATCATGTTGTAAGAGATCAGTGGGACTATGAAAAGAGAGATTTGGGATTTTATTGATCTCCGGACCGGTGGAAGATGCAATCAACATATAGCAGCTAAAGTTTTGGAGTTCATCCAATCACTCTTAACGATATCCAGCGAATCTCAAATTCGAGTCTCAACACTCGGACCCTTTCACCTGTCCCAAAATTTGGCCTCCGTAATACAGATGAGCTGATCATCCGATTTAACTTCACCAAACTTTCAAATGGATAACATTTCATTTGAACAATATTAACTTATTTTCAACTTGAAACCTTCTTACAAACACGTTATTACTAATTCTATGGTACAAATTTCATGTTGCAAAAGAATTATCATGCATTTCTAACTCACTTCCCCAAACCATCTTCAACATCGGTCATCAACGATATTGATAAAGTACCCTTTTCCATGAAGAAATTTACCATTTCTTACCGACCGGAATGGAACTTCGAGTTGCCTTCTGCCAAATATTATTGCTACAAACATCTTGAACAACGACAAAGTGAGGCAAATTTTCCAGGCAGAGAGTAATCCAATAGCAAGGATGGATCAGTTGCGACATCTTCAGGACGCGACCAAATGTACACCCCTCGTTCTTGCAGGCTGCCTGGGACAGTGTTGTCTAGTACAAATGCTACCAAGAGTGTAACCACCATGCTCATAGACATGAGTGCATTTACAGCAAAATCAAGCTGACACAGATTCATAAAACAAGATTGTTAATATACTTTCCCCCCATAAAACTAGATAAATCGAGAACACATATGCACATCTTTGTATCATCAGCTTAGCCACCAGGATGTTGGCATTCTAGATCAAGATTCGAAAACATATGCACATCTTGGACTTACTTGTTCGCTACCGGTGTGGACCGGTCCATCAGATGCAGCTGCATACGGAACAAAATAACTTGGCAGCATCAAACTCGACATGGGTTGGTACTGTTGGAAATAAGCAGGAATCGATAAACCAAGAAACAAAGACACCCCAACTATGGTTATGTTCCTAAAACTTGCTGTTTGAGTGTATTGCAAGGTCGAGAGGCCTATGGCCACAACAAGGGCCCACATGAAACACAAAATTGCAGCAGCCAAGGACAGTGGTATTGAAGCGAGAATTGCACCAACTTTTCCTGTCACACACAAGTCAAGCAATCAACATACTATAGACCTCATGCTTGTATCATAAACAAGGATAAATTATCGAGCAAGGCATATGGAGTACATATGCAACACCATAGATACTGTATCAAAAGCTTCAAACAGGTATAATAAACCTGTAAGATCAGATTGGAGGAAATATGATTTCAAGTATAAACCCTGAAATCATTTTTATATTCCTTGAAGAACATTCTAGTACATCCACCATGCATTAAGAAGCTTTTTTCTTCAGCCAACACAGAATTGGGACTTTACCTACAAGCGAGAAGAGGATCAAGAAAAGTGCTCCAAATACCACAGCTCTTCTGCTCGCCATCTTGGTTATGTTTATTGTATGCGTATTTTCCATCAAAGTTGTTGAGCCAGTACCCGAACCCCAAAAACCAGCCAGCAGGCTACAGAAACCTTCCAATGCAATGCCTCTGCTCACTACTCCAGGAGTTGGAGGCTTCGAACTGACTAGCAAAGACGCAGAATGATATGTTCCGACCTGAGTAGTCATTGTATCACAAGCAGGTATTAAAACACATTCAACTTCAAAAAATCAGTTTAGCTAGCTGCTTCGTTTGGTTGATCTTATTACCCTACTAATGTAGAAGCAGAATAACAATATTGAATAGAACCAAGCAAGTAAATTATGAAGGGTATTTTTTCCCCCAAAATCAAATATTTCCATCACACTGTACATTCGATGCCAATATTTTGGAACATTATAGACTACCAACCGAATCCACTGATGCAACAAGTGACACGAAGATCATAATCAAAGATGTTCGGAAATGGAAGATAGGGACACCCCACTGTAAAGGGTACGGAATTCTGACCCAAGCAGCACCTCTCCATGCATTCGAAACATCAGTTCTGCAATGCTTCATGGTATATGCATGTTTTTTACACTCGTCGAGTAGAATGTTTGAACTTGGAATGTCAGGGCTGCAATCTTTGTAATCATAAGCTCCTCCCGCTGTCAGAAAGAACGCATATATCCATGTGAGCATAACACTCAGGGGAACCTGCAGTGATCGAAAAATGACATGATGATCAATTAACAATATTTCTACCAAAAGCAAAGAACCTACCATTTACCTGGACATACCTAAATCTATAATTCAAAAAAGAAGAGAGGTAAAATTTTTAAATATTTAATATTATTATTCTGCTTCTAATGTGGTAGAGTAAGACAAGAAGCACTGCGAGTCAGCTTTTCAAGGGTGGAATATTCAGCTTTTCAAGAGGTGATAAATAATTGGTATACAATTATATAACAAAACAACCAGTAACCAAAAATCAACTATTATATTCTTAGCAACCGTTATTACGCTTTCATCATAATGTAGTAAGAAATTTTTGCAGCAAACTACTTGTTAGCTTGTGAATAACACACTAACAATAACAGCACATATTAAAACCAAAATCGAAATAAAGTTTAAGAAAGAATAAACAAGATGAAAAGTGAAAGTACATAAATTATCCAAAAAAAAAAGAGTAAAAGTACATACTGCATATATTCTGAAAAACCGGTGTCCGAAAATGGATACTCCTTGAAGATACTAGAAAAAAGTAAAAACGAGTTAACTATTTGGAAGACATCCATAAAAGGAATAATAAAAATCAAAGTATCCAATGTATTTATGTGCTCGGTAGCTATACCGTATTCAACTTTGCACCAGCAATTACTCACCAGGGTACATATAAGAACCAACAATATCAAGGGAACACTGACTTCTATGCAACTACCAGCTTGTGGAAAACCATAACTAAAGAATGCTAAACCCACAGCGGCAACAGTTGGTGCAACCACAACTGGGTTAATCAATCTACAAAAGAAGAAACATTTAACTCCATAGGTGATTCCAAGATTTTAGAAACATTTGGAGATAAGAAGCTTATGAACTGTTAAATTCCTTTTAGTTTAGCCAAAGTTGCACATTGAGAGTAAATGAAAATTTCCATATAAAAAGTAGTCTGAGAAATAATATCTATGAACAGTAATTCTGTTAGAATTACCTCAGTATAAGACACATCAAACCACTGAATCCCAAGATACTTTGGAATAGTGAACCGACAATTATAGCTCCTTGCAACTCTCTCATTATGTGCCTGAATTTCTACAGTATTTTAAAAAGGAAAGTGTTATTGAAAAATAGAATAAGATGATATAATATATTGCATGAAACACTAGTTTAAGTTCGTAAGAAATGAAATAAAGCTGTGCTTAATTCTTCTTTACAATCAGCAACATTAAAACTATAAAAATAAAAAGGAAAAAGAACCTAACAGGAGATACACCACTCATTTTCATGTACTTAACTTACATGTTCAGAGAGATTTCTATGATCCCTAGCATTGATGATAACCAGAGCTGGTGCCAGATAGATGAATGAACTTCCTTGAACTAATGGAAGCCGGGTCCCAAAGTAGGAGTGCAGAATTGTACTAATGCCAGAAAGTAGCAGCATTGTGGAAATCATAGTGGCTGTATCTTTCTGCATCACATATCAGAAATATCACTGATTTCATTTTCCAATTCTGTTAGATGTCAAGAAATCAATACTTCCATAGGAAAAGAAGCTTACATCCGTTCCGCCCATGGCTGGTACCATAACTGATGGAATGAATATAAGTGAGCCCGCCAATGATAAAAAGTGCTGCAGGCCATAATATATTAATGCTCCTGTAAATAAAGATAATCAAATGAGAACCAGCAGGATTCAGTGGCAACTACAAGAATCAATAACACAAACTGTGGAAAGCAATTCACGATATCGGTTTTTAAGTATTTGGTAATTATTGAAAAATCAATCTTTGGTTAAAGCCTCAAATATATCGATAATATAAATAAGAACCATGTTCAAATTGGAAATTTCATATAAATGTTTGACAATATCCAAAGTTGACCATGCATTGATAAATGAATAAATGATAAGTCACCTTTCATGCTTTTCACAAATGATAAGCATAAACTAAAGCAGAACTATCCAAGTTAGAACATGAAGCCTAGAAAAATCCTAACTCTCCATCTGTATTGGGAAGTTTCCTACAAAAAGTAGAAAAACTTCTGCAAATTTGTTTCTATGAACTTCTCACTTGTGCTGCCATTTTTACTAGTTGTTTCACACTGAAGTACCCTTTTCTATGCTCTTGAAAAATACACACATAGCCAAGCTACAAGAAACATTATCACCATATCAACTCCAGATTGTAGCTATTGAAAAACTCAAATACTGTGATTCCATTCAGTAACACAAAACTCTACACAGCTCAGAACTCTAAAAGTAAATAGCAGTCTACTTCAACACTAGCCACCATTAGTTAATTCAAGCATTACTAAGAAGACAGCAAGCAAAACACCATCAACAATGAACATAAACAAAAAAGAAGAGGGAAAAAAACTAACAAAAGGTACAATAAAGGAAACTAACCAAAACCCGGATTATCTCTCAACCCGACCTTCAACCCGGGATGATTACCATTCCACCCTTCATGACCCTGCTCTTCACCTCTTGGATACATCCCAATTTCCACATCCCTTTCACCCTTTCTTCCCTTATTCTTCTCTTCACCTACTGGTGTAACGCTTGCAACTCCATTCCCATTTTCCACCGCATTTACATTACCATCCCCATTTACCTCAGCTTTCCTTTCCTCAATTTTCTCTCCCAAACCATTATTCCCATTCTCATCTGCAACTGTCTTCCTTCCGTGCTTGGATCCCGACCCGGACCCGGACCCAGAATTCATTTGAATTTCGGTCCCCATATTGGGTCTAGTCCGGCCCAAAACCGGGTCAATCTCGATTTTTGGAGATGACCCACCAGCTCTATGATCACGGCCACTTCTTTCAACATTAAACCCAGTGGAACTGTCGAATCTTTCAGTAGAACTAGCAGTGCCAGTTTCTCCAGATAAGTGAGAGACAAAACCGGTTCTTTTAGCCCAAGATCTTAGCTCCCTTGGGTTATGGTTTTGATCTCTTTTAGGCACGAAAGGTTCAATCGTCGGCAACATTGAAGCGAGCTTGCCTCCTCTTCCATTTGAAGTCTCTGACTTTCCCAGTGAATCCGAGTTCGACCCTTTTTCCATTTCAGCTTATTCTCAAATGGGTAACGATTGTTCTCCCAGAAAACGAATGACTAACAAAAAAAACCTAAAGAAACTAGTAAAAAAGAAAAACCCAACAACCCAAATGAAATGTAGGAACTAAGTAAAGGTAGATGTGTGAAGGGAAAGGTGTGAAATTTCAGAAGAAACAAAACGGTTTGATTTGTTTTTATTGAGTGAATTGGAAAGTAGGATATGCTGGTTTGAAGAAAGAAACTTTACTGTTATCCTTTCCTTCTTGGTTCTTCTTTCTTCTTCATGGCCGCTGGCCAGTTGCTATCAGTTGAACTACGTGGGAAATTACGAATCTGCCACTGTAACGGCAAAATGAAAAATCAAGTGTTCAAGGAATCCAGTCCTGTCTCTGTCATTTTATTTATATTTCTTTTCGCTCAATAAATATCCGGAATAAAATAACAGCCGATGGCCGAGCATTGACATCCAGAGGTAGAATTTTAACTTTATTAATATAATTTCCCGTGTTAAATTAAAATTTATCCTTAGTAATTAATTAAAATTTCTATGAACTAATTATTGAATTCGTCTAAAGTAGTGATTATCAGCAAGTAAAGTTTTTTTTATCATAAACAGTATAAAAATTATGTTATTATAGTAACTGGAAAGATAAAGATGGTGTAAAGCTTGAAGTGCAAGATACCTTAGATTTCAGGATTTGTGAAAAGTTAAGCTTTTTTTATTAGCAAATAGAATTGTAGATCAACAGCCTCCAAGAATACAAAAATAGAAAAGAAAAGATAATGGGTCCAAATTCTCTCAATCTCTATATTATTATTATTAGATTTGACACTTTACTTGGACAAATTAGCTTAATCCTGACTTATTTATTTTTTAAGTTAAGATTATTGTGGTTGAGAAAGTTTATTATTAAGCAACTATGATCCCCTTTTTTACTTTCTTTGTAAAGGCCATTTAGCCGAGAAATAATGATTTTATTATCAGTGTTGCATAAATAATTTTGAAAAGAGAGACGATGATAATTACAACCCCACTACTGCCTTGAATCAGAAGCATCAATGATAAACTGAGCTTCAACTTTTTGACTCTTAATAATAATGAAATTATTGTGGTAACTACCGTTAAAGTATCGCACCAGTCCCTATACTAGAGGATGGGTTACATTTTAGTCCTTTATTGAAAATATGCAAATCAATCCTTCTATAATTCATGTTGAACAAATACTCTCTCTATTATAGAAGTGAATATTTGATTCAGTGGAACAAACAAATTAATATTATTTTATTATTTAAAATTTTCTTCTTAGACAAATAGACTATTTTAGACCAGGGGTATAAATGAATAAAGTGTTCGATGAGCTGCTCATGAATCGTTCGTATAACATTCATTCGTGTGTTAAGCTAAATAACAAGTATGAATATTTTTTATATTTATTTAATAAATGAACAAATGTATGTTCAATTCGTTTATGTTCACGAACAAGCTTGTTTACTTTTTATCTCTTTTACATTTTAAATATTAGTGAATATAGGGATTAAATTGAACACGTGATAAAATTTGGAGTTTAAACTATAAAGTTTGAAGAGATTTAAGCACTAGTGGGGTAATTATATCATTTTTAGCTCACAAATAAACATGTTCGTAAACACTAAACGAACATATTTATGAACGCTAAACGAACAAACATAAACATAATAAAAAATAAATAGACAAATACAAATACAAATATGATATTAAAACATATCAAACATAAACACTTTTTAAAAAAATGAACATACAATTCATTTACACCCCTATTATGGATCATCCGATTCATACCAGACAAATGTACACCATCCGATAGAACCACCACTATATCAAATTCGTTATCAACGACCATCCTCTGAGACTTGAGAGAGAACCCATTGGTAATAGACTGTTTCTCCTTGTTTTCACCACCCTAAAACCTCCGGGGCAAACAAGGAAAAGAAACTGCCATTTTTGTTTTAGTAACTGATGCAGGGGGATCCGAGACAGATGATGCTGAGCTGTCAGATTGCACCTTGATGGCGCTGAGATACCATGAATTGGCAGATCAGCGCAAAGGCGGGAATTGATTGTGTCATGTTCCTTATTGGGGTCGTTTTGAGTATGTTTCAGCCTTTTGGCCATAACTTTGGCTACAGGTGTCAGAATCGCGCATAAGACCCCAATCTGGAAAGCTCTTTTCGACGCACACGCTCTCCACATGAGCTACGCTCCGTGTGGCCTTTTTTTCAACCTCAAATTCTGCCATTTTTCCCTCTGAATCACTAGAATTAGATATTTTTTACTATTTATGGTAATATTTCGATTGTCAATTAGGAAGTCAATTTAAATCCGATTTAGGCCGGATTTTTTTGGAGATTGCTTATTTTATTTCGAATTTTAATTTAGAGTGATTTTCAGGATTTTGCTATTTTGGCAAAATTCGAATAAAGACGATTTTTGGCTATAACAGTCCAGCTTGTGGACTGATTTTGCATTGTTTGATTTGATAATATTTTATTAAACCCTAGAGACTTTTTTTCTCTGGATTTTTTTGGGCGAATTTTCTCTTGTGAATCATCTGTTGGAGCGCTTGCAGGATAATCACTATTCTGTCTGGCGTCAGAGCTTCAACATCTTCCTGGGAAATTTCACCAGTTTCAATGGCTGGAGGTCGTGGTCGTCGTGAGCAGGTTCCGAATGAGGAAGCCCAACGCCGTTATCGCAACGTTCAGGATGTGATGATTGCGGATTTACAGAGGCAAGTCGCAGAATTAACCCAGCGCCTGGCGGCGCAGGATTTCGAGGATCGTGATGCCTCTGATCAAGATACCAATTCCGCTTTCGAAAACCCATATCACAATCGTGCTCTATTTCGGGAACACCGTGGTCGGGAAGAGCGTCATGGAGACCTCGGTTTTCGGGTCGATCTCCTTGAGTTTTCTGGTACGTTACAGGCCGAGGGATTTGTGGATTGGATTAATGAAGTAAAGCGTATTTTTGAATATAAGGAAGTCCCCGATCGTGTGAAAGTGAAACTGATCGCCATCAAACTCAAGGGCAGAGCATCTGCGTGGTGGGAACAGTTGCGACGTTCACGAGAAAGACAGGGCAAGGCCAAGATCATTGATTGGGAGAAGATGAAGAAGAAGATGAAGGGTCACTTCATTCCCTTCGGCTACACGTAAACCTTGTTTCAGCGACTTCATACGTTGAGACAGGGCGCACGATCAGTCAATGATTACACGGAGGAGTTTTACCAATTGGTCGCCCGGAACGATTTATCTGAGACGGAGGATTCCCGTCCTGCTCAACAGCCACCGCAGGGTAATTCTAACCCTACTATTAGATGTTTTCGTTGTGGTGAACAATGGCATAGGGCGACTAATTGCAGGAAGCCTGCTAGTCAAAAGGGCAAAAATTTGTTGATTGAGGAAAACGCAGAAGACGAGACTGAGGAGATTGGCGAACCCGTGTATGACGATGATGAGACTGATGATGTGCTGTATGGAGATGGTCATGAGACTCTGGTCGTTCGCAAGAGTCTACTTACTCCCAAGGGCGTTTCAGGGGACGATTGGTTGAGAACCAATATTTTCCACACTACCTGCACAGTTGCAGATAAAGTCTGCAAAATGATCATTGACAACGGCAGTTGTGAGAATGTAGTGTCCGATGAGGTTGTCCAGAAATTGCAGTTGAAGACGGACCGTCATCCTAAGCCATACAAGCTGTCATGGCTAAATAAAGGCAGTGAGGTAACAGTTGATAGGCGATGCCTCGTGTTTTTTTCAATTGGTAGAAAATATTTTGATAATGACTGATGTGATGTTGTGTCTATGGATGCGTGTCATATATTGTTGGGTCGACCATGGCAGTATGATCGCAGTGTCATTCATGATGGACGGAAGAATACATATTCCCTTAGCATCAAGGGAAAAAAGATTGTGTTGGCACCCCGGCGGGAAGGACTCACTCCTACCCCAGTAACCCATAATACTACTCTGCTTTCTATGTCCAGGTTTTTAGATGAGATTGAGCATGGCGACGTGGTCTATGCCTTACTACCTTGCGAGAACAATGCAGTAGACGTGGATGCAGATTTACCAGTAGAAGTACAGCGGCTGCTAGCAGAATTCTCTAACTTGATGCCAGAGGATCTTCCTCCTGGGCTACCACCTATGAGGGATATTTAGCATCAAATTGACCTTGTTCCTGGGGTCAAGTTTGCCAAATCGACCAACATATTCGAGAGAGTATGAGCCCATGTGCAGTCCCTGCTCTGCTAGTGCCAAAGAAAGATGGTTCTTGGCGTATGTGTGTTGACAGCCGAGAGATCAACAGAATTACAGTTAAGTACCAGTTTCCAATTCCCCGTCTAGATGATATGTTGGATCAACTATCTGGTTCTAAGGTCTTCTCAAAAATTAACCTTAAGAGCGGTTACCACCAAATCAGAATAAGACCTGGAGATGAGTGGAAGACGGCGTTTAAAACGCCACAAGGGTTGTATGAGTGGATGGTCATGCCTTTCGGGCTATCCAATGCGCCCAGTACGTTCATGAGATTTATGCATCAGGTCTTGCGGCCTTTTATGGGGAAATTTGTTGTAGTTTACTTCGATGATATCCTCGTTTATAGTCCGACATGGACTTCACACTTCGATCACCTCCGTGCTGTTTTTGAGATGCTGAAAAGGGAGTGCTTGTTTGTCAATCAAAAGAAGTGTTCTTTCTTCACTACTTCTGTGACTTTTCTTGGTTTTGTTGTGTCTACTGATGGTGTTCATGCAGATCAGTCAAAGGTAGATGCAGTCTTGGAGTGGCCCAGACCAAAGACCTTACATGACATCCGAAGTTTCCATGGCTTGGCGTCTTTTTACCACCGATTCATTAAAAATTTCAGTACTCTGATCGCCTCTATCACAGAGTGCCTCAAGGGGCGTGATTTCCAGTGGTCTGAGGAGGCAGAGGCCAGTTTTCAACTAGTCAAGCAGAAGATGACCGAGGCTCCAGTTTTGGCACTTCCAGATTTTGACAAAGTGTTCGAGGTAAATTGTGATGCATCTGGCGTTGGCATTGGTGGTGTTCTGAGTCAGGCAGATCGTCCGGTTGCTTTTTTCAGTGAAAAACTATCGGGATCAAAGAAAAATTATTCCACTTATGATCTGGAGTTCTATGCCATAGTTCAGTCCCTGAAGCATTGGCGTCACTACCTAGTACAGAAGCAGTTTATTCTGTTTACCGATCATGAGGCCTTGAAGTACATCAATGGACAACACAAGCTGAGTAGACGTCATGCCAAGTGGGTGGCATACTTGCAAGAATTCACTTTTACGCTGAGGCACCAAGCAGGGAGTTTGAATCGCGTCGCAGATGCCCTGAGCCGTCGTACCTTACTTCTCACCACCATGAGTACTAAAGTTGCAGGCTTTGAGACGTTCACATATATGTATGCAGCTGATCCTTTCATTGGAAGGATATTTCAGGAGGTAACTGAGGGTCACCGTCATGATTTTTTTGGCATAATGGGTATCTGTTTCGTGGATTATAGTTGTGCATTCCAGATTGTTCATTGAGGCAGCAAATTATAGGTGAACTCCATAATGAGGGACACTTTGGCCGAGATAAGACCTTGGCCCTTATCTCTTCTGACTTTTATTGGCCCAAGTTGACTAGTGATGTGACCCATTATGTGGATCGTTGTTATGTGTGCCAGCGGTCTAAGGGAGTTCTCACCAATGCGGGCTTGTACACTCCCTTACCTGTTCCTGAAGCTCCTTGGTTCGATGTCAGCATGGATTTTTTACTAGGCTTACCCCGCACCCAAAGTGCCTCAGATTCTATCTTTGTTGTGGTTGACAGGTTTTCCAAGATGGCTCATTTTGTAGCTTGCAGAAAGACTATGGATGCTGACCGGATTGCCCATCTCTATTTCAAGGAGATTGTGCGTTTACATGGTGTTCCTCGATCCATCACTTCAGACCGTGATACTAAGTTCATCAGTCATTTCTGGAAGAGCCTGTGGGGAAACTGGGAACGCAGTTGAATTTCAATAGCGCCTACCACCCCCAGACGGATGGCCAGACCGAGGTGGTGAACCGAAGTTTGGGAAACCTCTTGAGTTGTTTGGCAGGAACGAAGCCGAAGCAGTGGGATTTGGCATTGCCTCTGGCAGAATTTGCCTACAACAGATCAAAAAACAGAACTACAGGTTTAAGACCATTTGAGATTGTCTATGGTCAGAACCCATCCGGGGTGCTGGACTTAGCCCCTATTCCACATATAGGTCGTTTCAGTCCTAAAGCAGATGAGATGACAAAGTATCTTCGGGGTATCCATGAGCAAGTGAAACAAACCATTCATGAGAGCAATACCAAGTACAAGACTCGGGTTGACAATCATCGTCGTCAGGTACTTTTTGATGTTGGTGATTTTGTTTGGGTTGTATTAACTCGTGATCGTTTTCCTGTTGGTGAGTATAATAAGCTTAAGGATTGGAAGATTGGACCTTGTGAGGTCGTGCAGAAGATCAATGATAATGCTTACAGGTTGCGTCTTCCCAGCCACTTGAAGACTTCTGATGTCTTTAATGTGAAGCACCTGAGTTATTGTTTTGTGGATTCTGATGACACTACTCTGAACTCAAGGACGAGTTCTTTCCAACCCGGGGTGAGTGATGCAGGGGGATCCGAGACAGATGATGCTGAGCTGTCAGATTGCACCTTGATGGCGCTGAGATACCATGAATTGGCAGATCAGCGCAAAGGCGGGAATTGATTGTGACATGTTCCTCATTGGGGTCGTTTTGAGTATGTTTCAGTCTTTTGGCCATAACTTTGGCTACAGGTGTCAGAATCGCGCATAAGACCCCAATCCGGAAAGCTCTTTTCGACGCGCACGCTCTCCACATAAGCTATGCTCCATGTGGCCTTTTTTTCAACCTCAAATTCTGCCGTTTTCCCCTCCAAATCACTATAATTAAATATTTTTTACTATTTATGGCAATATTTCGATTGTCAATTAGGAAGTCAATTTAAATCCGATTTAGGCCGGATTTTTTGGAGATTGCTTATTTTATTTCGAATTTCAATTTAGAGTGATTTTCGGGATTTTGCTATTTTTGGCAAAATTCGAATAAAGACGATTTTTGGCTATAACAGTCCGGCTTGTGGACTGATTTTGCATTGTTTGATTTGATAATATTTTATTAAACCCTAGAGACTTTTTTTCTCTGGATTTTTTGGGCGAATTTTCTCTTGTGAATCATCTGTTGGAGCGCTTGCAGGATAATCACTATTCTGTCTGGCGTCAGTAACCTTAAGACTACTTCATAAATCTGTATTTTTTTAAGAAAGAGAGTCAAATTTGCAGTTTAATAAATAAATTAGGTGATAGCTCATTGAGTTTATATAGAATGAAAAATTGATAGAAGGATTCCCTTTTGTTTCAAAATCTGGAGTTGCTTCAAAGATTTCTTTTCAAAAGATTATAAATTGTTTTTCAAATGATAGAATTGAGATCACAAATAAGCTTAAATGTCGCTTCATATATTGAGTTGATAATTGTGTTTTAAATTGGTCCTCTAGTGATTAATCTATAGTCTTGTTTTTATAGGAAGAAGCTTCAATGTAAATTAAGCTGCAAAACTGTTACTGTACACACATTCTCTACAACCTCAACAAATATAAGCGGGATTAAGCAGTTAATTGAGAATATTGAATTGCATCTGGTTGCTCTGGTGACATCTGTTAAATTCATCGAAAGTGCACTGTTGGGAGCTGTTAGAACCAAGGATTTAAATAGCATACCGCTATCGGAATAGTGGCTGTTATATAGCGTATGACCGTAATACTCGTAATAGTACCCACTATTACCATAATTGCAATAAACAAAACACAACCGAAAATACACATGCAACTGTAATTTAAATCCCTCCTGAGAACAACTATGTTGGCTTACTGTTTTCTGATTTTCATGGTTTTACTGCCGAGTATGTCTGTCAGTTCTAAGTTAGACGGTAGAAGAAAGATCCAATCTGACCTGAAGACAAGTCTAACAACGAATAAATCATTAGAAAACATGGAATTCAAAGTAAATGTTTTGGATAAGTGGATGTTACCTAGTTTCAATGGCCAGAAGGCCTCGTCAAAGAGTTGCGGTCCCGTTGGGCCCTTGAACTGTACGAGAATTAGAAGCAGCCAAGAAATCTGTTTCAAATCCTACACAGATAGGAAACTGAGGCCTACACTCCAAATGCAATAATATAAACTGATGCCTAGTCTTCGCAAAAGTCATGGAGCCGTGTAGTGAGCACAAAATGAATTATTCTTTCGCCTTTTACTAAAGAATATCGTGTGCTCGCTGCAATCAATACGCTAATTTTTAGAGGGTTTTTCGATTCTGAAGAGCCCCAATAATTTTAGTTTACATGTTTGTGTTATATAGAGGGTACAATGTTAAAATTAATTTTAATATTTATTAAAATTGTTATTTTGGTTTTAAAGTTTAATTTTAAGATAATCTCTAGTATTTAATCAAATTTTTATTTTGATCATTAATGTTACATAAATTAAAATATTTTAAAAAAATAATATAGATTAAAATGATTGTTTGATTAAATGTTTTTTAATGTCTATTTATATCTAAAGCTTAGAATTGGACAAATGTAAATATTTTTATTTGGATTGTTTCAGATTTAAATTATTTTTGTTTATATTTATTGCTTTTATAAGTACATAGTTCACTTTTTGTTAATTTAGTTTTTTACATTTGGTGTATAATATTTAACAGAGATAAAAGTACTACATAGATAAAAAAAACATGAATATCACAATTGTAAAAATACAAATTTAAATATCAAATTAATTAAAAACAAATCATATTTATAAAGTGACAAATTTAGATATTAGATTATTTTGAAATAAAACTAATTTTCACATGCATGTATTTATTTTAGAATTTAAAATTATATCAATTTATTTTAGTTTTATATAATTTTAATTAAAATTTTGTATTTTATTATAATATTATTTTTTTTAAACTACGTTCAGAAAACAAAGATATTTAACTTATAGTCTTGATGAAGATGTACTTCTGCGAACTATTATATTTTACTCAATATGATTTAGATATGAAAATATAATTAAAAATTACATAAAACAAAATTAATTAAATATAAATACAAGAATGCTTTAAAATATAGTATATATAATTACAATTTAAAAATTGGGTAAACTATGCAAATAGTCCCTTTTGTTTAGGGTTTGACCAACTTTGGTCACCAATTTGAAAATTAAAGGTAAATGACTGGTCACATTATCAGTCAGTTCGGTTTAACTCCTTCTACTATTAATTTTTGTTAACCCCCTTTTGTTTAAGTCCCTAACATTTGTGAGGGACTAAACTCGAATAGATAAAAAATGTTAGGGACTAAAATCGAACAGATCAATAACGTTAGGGACTAAAATCGAACAAATCGATAATGGCTTAGGGACTAAAATCGAATAAATCGATAATGTTAGAGATCACTTCCCCTTAATTTTTAAATTGATGATCAAATTCATTCAGAACAAAAACTTAGGGGACTATTCGTAAATTTTACCCTAAATGTTTTATTAAAAGTTCAAAATGATTTTTTTATAATAATTTCAAAACAAATTCGAAATATAAAAATGAAGTATTTTTAAGAAGGCTGAGAAAGTTGAATAAATGAGCCCATTCAACCCAGCCCGACTCACCTATCTTTGCCTAACGGCTAGTCCCTTTCAAATTCTCCGTCCCCCCCGAAAAAAATTAAATTCACAATAACCCTCTACTAACGGCTCTTTTTGAATCATTCCCTTTTCTCTCTTTACTTTTTTCTTGCTTAGTTTCTCTTCCTAATCTTTCAATTTCGAGAACCAGAAAATTACCCAAGAAAATTAATCTATTGTGGAAATCCCCTCTGATGACCGAATCTATAATCTGCAAACCAGGTACATTTCTGGGTTTTTCTTCCCTTCTAGTTATTTTCCCGTTTGTTTAGTGAGAAATTCCTATTAAAAGAAAAAACAAAGAGCTAAGAAGTTTAAAATCTAGAAGAAAACTGATAATTACTCCTTATTAACATAGTCTTTCTGAATTTTAAGAAAGCATTCAATTTCTGTTTGTGGGTAATTACTAATTTGTTGCATTGTTTAGTTTCAATTCAATTATTTTTTCAGAAAAAAATGGTGTTTATGCGGCTTTGGGGTTTTTGTTGTTTGTTTTTCTTTTTCAATTTCCATTTGTTTGTTTAGTTAGATTTTGTATTAGTTCCTGCCTTCCGTTTGTTTTACCAGAAATTCACAGAAAAGAAAAATCAATTTAGGCCTGGATTTTACTTTTGTAGAAGATATTGTAATTCAGTTTAAATTACTAAGGAATTCTGATGGACTATGTACTATTCGTATGGTTTTAAAATATTGTATGACATTTTCACTTCTAAAGGATTTACACTTTACATACGAACAGGTGTGATTTGTTAACTATATTTTCTTGGAAACGATGGCCAAGGATAAGGTTTATGAAGAACTAGATGAAGTCAAAGTTGAGAATGAAAAGTTAAGGGCAGATTTCATTAGCAAAGTTGAATTATGTGAGCACTTGAAGAAGGTGGAGAATGAACAGGTAACGAAGATCCGAGAAGCGAGTGCAAAAATCGAGAAGCTGGCACAACAGCTTCTCGAAAAAGAAGAAGAAATCGTGTTGGTGAAGCGATCGAATGAAGATCTTAAATGCAGCCTGAATGAAAAAGAATCTATTGTCAAGCATTTGAATGCTGCAAATGATAAGCTGAGAGCTGAGCGTGATGAGAAGAACAGGAATTCAGAGCAGGAAATCCGAAGGTTGGTCTTGGCTTTAGATGAGGCAAATGAGCTGAGTATAGATCAAGAACAAAAGATTAATGTGCTCAAGGCTGAGATTGAAGGTCTCAAAGGGAACCTATCTGTTTCGAAGAAGTGTTTAGAAGCCGAAAAGAAGGCCAAAAATCCGAGGGAGCTGAGGGAAAGAGATGATTTGTTGGTTCAGGTAGAGGAAGAGAAGAGGAAGATTGAAGATCAGCTAAAATGGAAGAAGGAGCAGTTCAAACATTTAGAAGAAGCCCATGAGAAACTCCGGGACAAGTTCAAGGCAAGTAATAAAGAGTGGGAGCAAGAAAAATCTACATTGCTCGATGAGATTTCTTCACTGCAGACGAGGTTAGATTCGCAGTTCCGAGTTGCAGGAGACCTCCAAAACCGGTTACAGATATGCAATCAAGTCTTGGCTCATGAAGAAACCCGAAGAAAGTACCTAGAAGTCGAACTTTCGGAGTTCAAAACACGCTATGAAACCATTTTTTCCGAATGCCAGGATGCAAAGTCACAACTGGACTGCTTGAATTCCCAGAGGGACAATGAAGTTGCATCTCTGAGACATAAATTAGGCATTAAGGAGTCGTTTTATAAGGAAATGGAATATCGAGCCGGGAAACTGGAGCAAGAAAATCGAGAGTTGTTGACTTCCATTAAAGAACTCCAGGAAGCTCGAATTCAGGAAGCCGGGAGTGCCTCTTCTCTTTCGAAATTGAAGAACAGGCTCAGAAGTCTGGACCAGAAACACAAGGAGTGTTCAACAAATCTTAGAGCTAAAGAAGCAGAATGGAACTCTCAGCGGGAGGAAATGACTAGACAGTTAGATGATTACTGCTCTCAGTTACAGCATAAAGATGCTGCTCTCAAAGTTCTGGAGATGGAACTTGAAGGTTGCCTGTCTTCAGCTTTTCAGTTGAAATTGCAGAATGATGAGATTTCTGTGATGTTACTAGTAATGAAATCGGGAATGTCCGAGGCTCAACTGAAACTTGCCATTTTTGAGGCTGAGTTGGACCTCCATGAGAAAGAGAGGGTAGAGAAGTTTTCTATTCTAAGGCAGCAACTGGAGATGAAAGATACTGCTCTGGCTAATGCTCGGCGAGACATTGCAGAAGAACATCAGCGGACTGCTATTTTATCTAAGAGGATTGAAACCATAGATCATCTTGAGGTTAAGCATCAGCTAATGGAGAAAGAGCTCGATAGATGTAAAGAAATGCTCAAGGAATCATCGAGGTGTCAACTTCGTTTGAAAGAGCAAGCTTTTCAGATGGAAAAAGAATCCAAAGAGAAACTTAGAGAAGTTTGTGATGCTTTAGAAACAACAGAATCTGAACTGGCAGAAGAACAGGAGAAAGTAGAATCTTTGTCAAGGAGGGGTGAGTCCTTGGATCTTATAGAAGGGCAGTGGCTCCTGCTGCAGAAAGAGCTTGAGAGGTATAAGAAAATGCTCGAGGAAGCATCTAGGTTTCGAGCACAATTCGAAAAGCAAGCTTTGCAGATCGACAACGAATCCAAAGAGAAATATAGAGAAGTTTGCGATGCTTTAGAAACAACAAAATCTGAACTGGATGAAGAACGAGAGAGAACAGCTTTGTTGATGAAAAGGGTCGAGTCTTTAGATCCAATTGAAGGACGGTGGCTCCAGACACAGGAGGAGCTTCAGCGGCACAAAGAAATGCTCGAGGATGCATGTAGGCGTCAATGTCAGTCAGAAGAGCAATCTGTGCGTATGAAAAATGAATTTGGAGAGAAACTTCAAGAAGCTTGTGATGCTTTAGAAAATGCAAACATTGAATTGGCTGAAGACCGTGAGAGAACAGCTACCTTAATTCAGCGGATCGAATCATTGGATCACTTGGAAGAACAGTTAGCCCTGAGGCAGAAAGAACCGGAGCAATACAAGGAAAGGGAACTGAAAGAAATCCACAATGTCTCGGAGAAAGCAAATTCTGAATTGGTTGAGAAAACTTGTGCAGGACATGAACTTGAACTTGAATTTGAATTGTGGATATGGGAATCTATAGCCGACCGGTTAAAAATCGACCTTCAAGAAAGTCAGACATTGCGTAAAGAATTAGAAGCTTCTCTTCTTGCGCAAGTGGAGATCGAGGAAACTATCAATAAAGAGAAAGATGAACTTGTCCGTGTAACTGAAGAGAAAGATGGGATAATTGTTAATCTCCGGCAGCAGGTAGCATCACTGGTGCAAGAGCTCAAAGCAAGAGAACATGATAAGATCATAGAGGAGAAACTACAACTGGTGTCTAATTCAGAAGCAAGGCTGAGAACATCAGAGGCTTTGGTCGATGAGCTTAAGACCGAAAACAGAAATTTGCTCAAAAACAACACAATGCTGTTAACAGACCGGGAAAATCTGCTCGGATTCATCAAGAGCCTAGGTGATCGGATTGGTGAGCTCTCCGGCGAAGACGGTAAGCTGATGGGAATCTTGGGGAGGATAATGCAGTCTTTTGACAACGACACTTCAGACATGAAAGGTAATGATGAACTCTATTACACTCTTAAGGAAAACAAGAGTCTTATTTCTTCTCCGGCAACTAGAAAACCTGATTCTCTTATTGAAGAAAGATCACCATTTAGAGAGCTCAACTAGAAACCATGGATTTCATTTTCATTTCCAGCTTCAGCTTCTGTATATGACAAATTCAAGCATGTATTATCTGCTAGTAACAATTTACCACTTATGATTTGTTGTGTCATTTTCAAGAACAAGATAACATTTTTCTCTTGTAATTTCCCTTAATAAGGTTTTCTTCTATTGTTGCTTACTTTATGTTGAATATATCTTTTTTTTTTCCTCTTAAAATGTATCATCTTTGTCCAAAGTCCAGCCTAATTATCTTTATTCAATATATTTATGAAACATCCCCTATTTAATTATATACTTTTAATTAGTATATCTTACCCATATTCTTTTGTACGTTTACATATAATTAGGATTCACTTGTATAGATAAAATCCTTCTTGTGTTAGGATTCTTAAAACTCCTTGATATTCTAGTTTTTTTATTACATTCGAAATGCCTATAATGTTTTTTTAACAAAAATACCTATAATGTTTAAGACAATAAATAACAATTTAAACACATCAAAAGTTTGTCTTTGATTTTTGTCTTAGTACACGCCTCAAATGATTATATTTGTTAGTTTATATAAAAAAATCTTTTATTTGTTTAGTTGTTTAATTAATAGATGAAGTTATTATTTATGTTATTTATTTTATTGGTGTTAATTTTATGTTATAATTAGTTGATTTCATATTTAATTTAATTAATAATCTAATGTCACACATAACACGTGTGATAACGATATATTTGTTAAAAGACAAGACCACTTTCGGTGGTGCATTAAATGCATCGAAAGTTTTGTTGATTTTTTGGGCAATGGTGAAATTACATTTAGTCATTGTAATTTAGGGTATTTATAAATTAGTCCTTAAACTTCAACTATAAATACCATAGCTCATTTAGCTTCAAAACCATCCCAAATCATTCTAGCTTTCTCCCAATACTAGAGAATTTAGAGAGTTTCTTGAGAGTTGTTTTCTCTTTTTTTATCAAGAGAGAATTATCATTGTTTTCTCATTTATAGATTGAGAGAAGTTGTAATTCTTATTTTCTCATAGTGAAATTCTTCTATCATTGCCCATAGCTTTTACCCTATATTATTTAGGGGTTTTCCTCGTAAATTTTGTATCTCTTTTATCTTCATTTTTATTTTCTCAAATTATCAGTTGCGATTTTGCTCTATCCGATAGCCGTCTTCCGCAACAATTGGTATCAGAGCCAGATTTGAGAGTGTAATATCTGTTTATTGTCTTTGTGGTTACCACCAAAAGGTGGATCATCCAACATAAGAAAGTAAGAAGGTATTACCCATTCTTTGAAGGTTCGAGAGAACTATTCACGATAGTGAAATAGTGGGAGCTATCCGTAATAGAAGCTATGACAACGAAATTTGATATTGAAAAGTTCAATGAGAGAAACTTCTCATTGTGGAAATTGAAGATGAAGGCTATCATGAGGAAAGACGGTTGTCTAGCAGCTATCAGTGAAAGGCCGGTAGATTTTACAGATGACAACAAATGGATCGAGATGGACGGGAATACTATGACAAACTTTCATCTAGCATTAGCAGATGAAATATTGTCAAGATCGAGGAGAAGAAGACAACTAAGAAGATATGAGATCATCTCACCAAATTATACGAGGCCACATCGTTGCACAATAAAATTTTCCTTAAGGGGAAATTGTACACTCTCCGTATGCCAGAATCTACTTCAGTGACAGAGTACTTAAACACACTGAACACGCTATTTTCTCAGCTTACATCCTTAAGCTGTAAAATAGGAGAACAAGAACGTGCTGAACTTCTACTTCAAAGTCTACTAGATTCGTATGATCAACTCATCATCAACTTGACAAATAATAATGTTATCAGTCTAGTTGTAACAACCCAGAAAATTTAAAGAAAAAAATTTAATTAATTAATTAGTAATTGGGCGAAATTTGGCGACTAAATTAAAAGTTTTAAAATTTTGAAGGCCATATTAGAAATGAAGGAAATTCAGGGACCAAGCCCTGAATTACTCCTTTTAGTATCGGCAGGAAATTTGATATATACGTATGAATGGTTTTCTGTTTTCAAAATAGAAAACAATTGTGAAATTCCTCCTCCCGTACTCTACTTCAAAGCCCGATTCCGACACCGTCCGACCTCCGATCGTCAAATTGAAACCACCATCGTGTTCATCTTCAACCCATGATCAAAACCCAGTAAACCAATTATAGCGAAATGCTGCCAAACGACGTGAATTTCGAGTCAAAGTCTCGATGTTTTTTTAGCACCACCGCCGGGAAAATCTTAAATTCATCTCCGATCGTTGATCAGTTTTTGACACCTCCCACACCATCGTGTTCCTTGTGTCGTTCCGAGTCCAACGGTGTCCTTCCTGTCTCCGTAGGCGGCGGTGCGTGAGGGAGGTGGAGCGGTCAAAGATTCGGCCGAGTTGAAATTGAGCTCTCCATCGTTCAAAAATTTGAACCGAGGTTGGTAAGTGACTCAAAATCGCTTAAAATAATTTTTGCATGAATTTTTGGAGACCGGAGGAGGTCTCACGCGCCCCCCTGCGCGTGGGGAATGATGCGAACAGTTGGGTGATGTTGTGACCGGCTTGACCGATCCAAATCGGTCTGAACCGGTTTGACCGGGTTGACCGGTCTGACCTGACCCGACCCGACCCAATGACATTTTAGGAATTATTTTGAAAAAGGTGACATTTTGGAAATTATTTTGAAAAATGTGACATTTTGGAAATTTTTTAAAAACATTGAAATTCTAGTAATTATTTTTAAAATGATGACATTTTGGGAATTATTTGTAAAACGACGATATTTTGGTAATTATTTTTAATAAAGGTAATATTTCTATAATTTTTGAATGTGGACTATTGAACCCCTTTGACCAGATTTAAACGGCCATTAAACGACCTTTGATTTTGTTCGATTATACCTATTCTGACATTATTCGACGTGCCGAATCCGTTTCCGAATTCCGTTTTTCCAAATTTGAACCCGAAGGCCTCCAAATCATCAGTCAAACCCGTTGACTTTGATTTTGACCAAGAATTTGAATTTTTGAAAAGTTATACTTTATGTTGTTCGACGCCCTGATTCCAATTCCGCACTCCGTTTGATCAAATTCAGACTCGAAAGCCTTCAAATTGATAGTCAAATCCGGAAAATGCTTATGTACTAAAGAGTTTAAGCTTTGAATGGTTGAGTAAGACTTAGGACTTATAAATTATTAATGTTTGAAGGTACAAGAGACTCTCCTGACCGTTCGACAACTCGACCCAGCTCCTCTAGATCAGTTAAGCCGCGTGTGCTAGTATTCACCCGTATGACTTGTAAATTTTATGATTTCAGAAATTAATTTTGTTACCCATTAGTAATATAGTGTTATTATGGATTAAGTTCGAAAACAGTAGTAGAGCGTGACGAGGCCAGCAATCACTAGATCTACTATTTGAATCTATTGTCGAGGTGTGTTCCCTGTATACTACTTGATTGTTTTATATGTTTTGAAATATGGTACATTGAAAGCTATGGTTTAATGTTTTATTAATCCACCTATTTACTGGTGATGGTTTATGGAATATGACTGATATATGATTGGTTTTCATTGGTATATGATAATATTGATTATGAAATTATGTAAATTATGCTTACTGCATAAATAGTATTTTTAAAATACTGATTTTGGGTTGGATTGCACTACGGAGGTACAGCTTTGATCACGCTGGTAAACCTTATGGACCTAATGTGACTCTTGGGTAGGCCCACGGGCCTCAAGATGCTTCATTAGGTTGGCTCCCTTTGTTGTGTGCTTAGGGTAAGCCCTACGGACTTACGGACTTAAGGATACATGCCTCAAAGCCTATCTTTAGGTTGGCTTCCTTTCTGCTGTGTTCTTAAGGTAAGCCCTATGAACGCAGTTCTGGGGAATTGCGGATGGTGTACCGGAGAAAAGTTTTAAATTACGAGTTTCAAAAGTAAAACTTCATTATGGTTTGATGATGAATTTCTGAACTATTACTCAATTACTGTACCTACTATGATTTTATTGTACTATTCGGACACACTGAGCCTAGCTCACTTTTCGAAAATATTTTCCCGTTTAGATATTGTTGGTTAGATACTCAGATCAAGCACTTGGAGGATCAACATATCTCTTGAAGTATATCGTATTGTAATGTTTTATCTTTTAAGTTGACTCTATTATGGTAACATGGGCCTTATTTTAAAAGTATTGGATTTTATAATGAGTACTCCTTTTGCTAATTTATATTGGTTTATTGTAATTTGGATTTTTAAAGACATGTTTTAATTAAATTGTTTTTTCTCATAATTATGAGTTGGTTATTTTATAGTATAATTTATTATAATTTCATAAATGTAATTTATAAATATGATTTTTCGTTGATAGAATAACGGTTTCGGAAAAATGTCTTTAAGAATCATGAATGTGATCCACTAGACTTAGTCGAAACGCATAGGTCGGGTCTAGGGGGTTACATTTAATTGGTATCAGAGTTTTGGTTTTTAAACCTCGGACTGTGTATGAGTCCAAATTGAAAATACGATTTTGAAATATTTTACAAAATAAGTTGCTAAGGCCATGTCTCAAAGTTTTTACGGTTTTAATCGTGGTAGATACTCCAAGTGCTTATCTAAACCTAAGTTTTATCTTCTGTAGTAAAATAGAGATCTACCAAAATGAGTGCTAGACGTGGACGTCAAACTAGCCGTGGACGAGGTCGAATGGCTAGATTTGCAGACCCAATCGATGAGATTCGAGTAGATCCCCCACCTCCGACAGGTGATCCTGCACCTGCGACCCCGACGAATTTGCCTCCTGCCGCTGGTATTGGCATGACTACACCGATCATAGGAGCGACTGATATTGAGCCTGATTCTACCAGAGTTGCACATGATGAAAATTTTGGTAGACAATTTCTACAGTTGATTCAGGGAGCGGTCAGAGCTGCTGGTGTTGGATCCGAGGTGCCTATTTCTCAGACTCTGATTGCCAATGGAGTCAGAACTTTTGGAGGACAGATTGGTGGACTTCCTACTGAAGCGGAAGATTGGCTCCAGG